GATGGCTAACTGCTAACCATCTATGGCTAACTGTTAACCAGCTATGGCTAACTGTTAACCATCTGTTACTAACTGTTAACCAGCTATGGCTAACTGTTAACCAGCGATGGCTAACTGTTAACCAACTGTTACTAACTGGTAACCAGCTATGGCTAACTGTTAACCAGCTTTTACTAACTGTTAACCAATGATGGCTAACTGCTAACCATCTATGGCTAACTGTTAACCAGCTGTTACTGTTAGCCATCTATGGCTAACTGTTAACCAGCTATGGCTAACTGTTAAACAACTGTTACTAACTGTTAACCAGCTATGGCTAACTGTTAACCAGCTGTTATTAACTGTTAGCCATCTATGGCAAACTGTTAACCAGCTAAGTCTAACTGTTAACCAGCGATGGCTAACTGTTAACCAATGATGGCTAACTGTTAACCAGCGATGGCTAACTGTTAACCAATGATGGCTAACTGTTAACCAGCGATGGCTAACTGTTCACCAGCTGTTACTAACTGTTAACCAGCTGTTACTGTTAGCCATCTATGGCTAACTGTTAACCAGCTATGGCTAACTGTTAGCCATCTATTGCTAACTGTTAACCACCTGTTACTAACTGCTGACCAGCTGTTACTAGCTGCTATTAAGCTGTTGCTAACTGTTCACCAGCTGTTACTAGCTGCTATTAAGATGTTACTAATTGATAACCAGCTGTTACCAGCTGCTACCCAGCTGTTAATTATTGTTACTAACTGCTTACCGATAGTTACTGTTAACCAGCTTTTTGTGAGTTGAAGCATAAACTGAACACAAAACAGGAACAAATAATGTGGAATCTGCTGAACAACTGATGAAAAAGAGGAGAAACCTGGGTATCTACCACTAACCCTAACATGGGTTTTTAACCTTAACCCTGGGTTTCTACTTCTAACCCTAACCCTGGGTCTCTAACCCTAACCCTGGGTTTCTAACCATGGGTCTCTAACCCTGGGTTTCTAACCATGGGTCTCTAACCCTGGGTTTCTAACCATGGGTCTCTAACCCTAACTTTGGGTCTCTACCCCTAACCCTGGGTCTGTAACCCTAACCCTTGGTTTCTAACCATGGGTCTCTAACCCTAACTTTAGGTTTCTACCACTAACCCTTTGTTTCTACCCCTAACCCTGGGTCTCTACCCCTAACCCTGGGTCTCTATCCCATAATCCTGGGTTTCTAACCCTAACCCTAACCCTGGGTCTCTAACCCTAACCCTGGATTTCTGACCCTGGGAGCTGTCAGACACTAACTTATTCCCTGTGCATACTCCAAGTCATATTTATATTTATTGACCCCAGCTGTGCCTTCACTTTGCAGCTAGGTCTTATGCCTCTTATGTCCCAAGGCATGATGGGAAAAAAAATACATTTCTCCTTCTCAGAACCCGTAAATAAAAGATACAAGCATCCTCGGTAACTTGTTCTGATAAAGGTCCAGAGGGAACGTTCTGCTGATCAGAACCTGCTTCCATCCCTGCTGGTCGCTATGGAGATGGACCAGAACCGGTGCTGTGGAGCCTGTTTTCTCTGTGGGGAGGTTCTGGTTCTGAAGCCAGAGTGTGTACAGGGTTGGATGTGTGGTGGTTCTGATCCATTTCCAGCTCATTTTCTTTGGCCTGGATGTCAACAGATTTAGTTCGAGCTGAAAATCAAACCTCAGAGCTTTCCGACACGCTCTAAGAGAAGCAATAAGCAGAGAAGAAGACTCTGATCTCATCAGGGGTCCCAGTCCTGGAACCGTCCTGGACCAGGACCTGGACCTGGACCAGGACCAGGACCTGGACCAGG